ATTTTTTAAATTATAGTTAATAATGTCGTGTTATACCTTAAGAATCGTTGTTATAGAAAATAAAAAAAAAATGAAATAAATAAATAAAAAAAATCATGTTGAATGTTACTTAAAAATTTAATCTCTTACTATGAAATAAGTTTTGTAATAATTTCTAGAATTATAGTTTATGATATCGTTCAGAGATAATACTATGAGAATTACCGATATAGAGAAAGAATATATTAAACTGTTACTAATATTGTGAAACATTGTCTTATTTTATACGCATTTTTTTAAATAAATCAAATTATTACAAAGAGTCTAATTTTCTTTCAAACAAATTGTTTATAATGATATTAAGAACGTCTTTTGAATTTTCACGTTTATCGTAACATTAACGAATTTCGATTTATTCAATTAAACTTTGAAATTGTTTTTGAAGAATAACCTGTAGAAAAAAAAAAAAACAAGAAAAAGAAAAAGAAAAAAGGACAAGAAAAAGAAGAAGAGAAAAAAAGAGAGAGAAAAATAACACATTCCCCAACAAAAGCAAAATTAATTTGAAAACTATGTGCCAACGAACAAGTTTATAGTCAAATAGTAGAGAGGAGGGACTAGGTAAGCTAGAGAGTAACGATCGGTGGCTGTAACTTTGTAAAAGCAATTTTCCGGCGGCGATTTAAGTGCATAAATCGAGTATACATTTTCTACGCAATTTCCCTGACAACAAATATATACCATAAAATGTATATAAATTTTCAAATGATATCAAAAGTCAATTACAATTCTCCTAGTATTTTTAAGATCATTTTGTTTCGTAAAAAAGTTTGTATACTTTTAGTTCTACGATTTAAAAAAAAAAAATAAAAAAAAAAATAACAGGCTAAACAGTCTTGGAAAAGATTAAATTAATTTTTTTTTAAATCATTTAGAATCTTTTTACTCACTACTTTTTGTTTTTGTATTAAATATGTGTATATAATGCATAATTGTATATGAATTAACGATTTATTTTATAACGATTAAATGAAACAATAATTCAAAAATACGAATAAATATATATATATATATATATATATATATATATATATATATAATTATGTAAAAATAGATCAAGAATATTTTACAATTTTTAGAAATAAATAACAAAATCAGAAGAAAAGAAAAAAAGAGAGGGGAAAAGAAAAAGATAAGTAAAGTTCAATCGTTCTACGTTTATTGAGTTTACGAAAAAAAAAGAGAACAAAAAAAAAAGAAAAACAAAAAAACTTAAAATCAAGATTAATTCGATATTCACTTCGCACGTTGCTTTGATCTTCACGAAAAAGGGAATATTTACTGACATTTATATGAGCAAGAATCTTTTGCTTAAACACGTTTCCGTAGAAAACTATAGAACAAACGTGTTAAATCAGTGGTTCTCAAACTTATCTATCATCGAAAATTCTTTGTAGTATATTAAAAAAAATTTTTACTATTTCATAATTCATATTGTATTTTTAAGAACACTTTGAGAAACACTGTGCAAAGTGAACACCAGAGATAATACGTTTTATTTCATCGATCCATTAGGAAAATGAATTTTCAATATCTTTTTATTTTTTATTTATTTATTTATTTTGTTTTTTTTTTTTTTTTTTATAAATATTATCAGAGAGGAAATTAATAACGATTTTAGTAGCATCAAGACACGTAATCGAGATGCACTCTACAAAATGAGATAGCTTCATCGTTAATTTTGTTTGAATTATAGCAAGTATTTCAATGTTTTATGCGGGTTACGTATTCTGAAAAGTTTATTGGCCTTTGTTTTATTTTAAGCATGTTGCATATAGTGACTATCGATTAGTATGGTCCACAGATCGATTTAAAATATATACTTTAAATACTCATGTATTTGTACAAAACTATGCTCGAATATATACAAAGTATATATATACATATATGAAATATATACATATATACATATTAAATATAATATAATACGTATATCTATTGAATTGAGAAATAAATTCTTAAAGTTCTTGAATATTTTTAACTTATCTCATTCAACTTCGACTTTAATTACGAACTTGAGTCGAGTGAAGTTATTAAAAACAAAACAAAACAAAAAAAAAAGAAAAAATTAGTATTCTTTAATTATTGGAAGCTCGATCGAAAAGCTTCATTCATAAAGACATAAAGGAATATAATCTTCAGGATGACAATCTTCAAAGGAGTAATATTAAAATGATTCCACTAGGGAAGTCTTTTCTTTTTAATTTAAAAAATTTTCTTTATTCTCTGATAAATTAATTACGTCATCGAATATATTACTATTATTGTAGAGTAATAATATATGAAATGTCTTTAAAGTAAATAAATAAAAAATAATTATAAACATTGATATATAAAAACATTATATTTAATTATTATTAAATTATTAAATATTTCTAAAAATTATTGTTAAATATTTCTATCTTTTTATATATATTATATATATATAATTTTTTTTTGTTTAATATATTAACTTTATCACAAATAAATTATTCAATCGAATAAAATATTTGTCTGAATATTTTCTTTTTTATTAATTTTAATACGTTTATAATACACGTGTAATATGTAAAAATAAATACGTGAAATCTGATAAATAAATTCTTAAACGATATTCTTCGGCAAGAGAAATTGACGATAACGACTCGTAAACATACATACACACACACACATATATGCACGTACGCACGCACACATATATACATATGCACATATAAACGTACGTATGTATATAGAAACAGTCATTTCTTGAATAAACATCGTTTCTTCAAGAACGACCAACGTTACGTAGTTGATTTCCATTCGAGTATTCTATTTGTTCTCCGTATATTTCTAAGATATACTTCGATATATTGTACATTTAATCATCGATGGATCGATACTTTCCACGTGATGGCATCTTTTCTTTCAAAACGATGTGCGCAGGTGTAGCAAGTGACTTAACGAGATCACTTTTCATTCCATTATCGACTTAGCATCATCTAAGGATCTTTATATGCAGACAACTTTTACACGTGTTGCGTTACACCACAGTGGTTCTCTAATTTTTATATCACAAAGTCTTATGCGTTAAGTATCCTTTTTCTTTTTCTTTAAATTATATCAAATCGTTTTATTTTATTTCTTTTCTTTTTCTTTTTTTTTTTTTTTTTTATTTCATTTTTCGAAGATAATATCAATTCAATTGAACGAATTTACATTTTAAAATCTGATCTCAATTTAACACTCCTTGTATTTCTTAAATTATTTCTAATCGCGTAAATAGTATCAATTCTAAAGTCGTGAGTTATGTATTATAATATCATCTAAAGTTAGCCGACTTTGTTTCTTTTTTTTTTTTTTTTTTTTTTAAATTATTTCAAATCGTTCTATATTTCTTTGTTTTACATTTTTCGGGAATACTAATTAATTATTTAAGTCGAGGATAATATTTTAATGTAATATTATTTAGTGTGAAACAAGAAAAAAAAAAGAAGAAAAAAATAATGATTTTGTTATAATTGTTTCGAATTATTTTTTATTGAGCATTATTTTTTTTTCAAAACTTCTCCGTCTTTGTCCGATCGAAGTAACAGTATTTCTACTGATGTATGTCTGATCATACTACTGATCTGTTACTTTAAGTAGTACGAACAAAGACTTAAGAAACATAAGAATAAGACGAATGATAAAATTACTCCGAGTGAAATAAAAAATCGAAAAATCGATATTTTTTTGTTTTTCTTCTTTTTTTTTATCGTTTTTTTCTTTTTATTTTTATAATCTTATTAAATGTGTCGCATCAACTTCTTATAAGTTATTAACGACGTAAGAGTTAAAGTTCACAGTTCATTATATTCAATTTGATGCACTTTAAATAATGTAATATTCTTTATATAAATTCTATATCCTTTAAATTGTCCTTTAAGATAATTTTATTTCGTTAAGGGATATTGAATGTGACAAAACAAAAAATTTAAAAATTAGTAAATAAAATTTCAAATTTTTTGAGAAGTTTTATCAAACACTGATATTATACAAATTTAATATTAAATTAAATTCATATAAAAGAAACGATATATATATATATATTTAATTATTATTTTTTAATTAGCCTACCAATGATTTATCATTACAAATTAATAATTCGTTAAATACGAGAGAAATATATTCGATAGATACATAAAAATTCTATTTTCTTTAATTCATCTAGAAGAAGCCATCGCATCGATCATATTGTTGTCATCGAAACCTAAATAAAAGATGCCATACGGTCGAGAGAAAGAACTCCGACATCGTGATTGTTCGTTTCAGATAAAAAAAAAAAAAAAAAAAAAAAAAAAAAAAAAAAAAAAAAAAAAATTGGAATGCTTTTGAAAGAAATAGAAAACGATTTATCGAATTTCTTGAATTCGTTTACATCTCAAAAAGGATATAAAATCTTTGTTCATAAAAATTTTCAATTAAAAAGAGATCGTTATAACGATATACTTTTAATTATTCGCGGTAACATTCATAACAGAATAAAACTAAAGTTAATATAAAATTAAGAACTATACATAGAACGTTCGAAATATCTGATCAAGATATATATATATATATATATATATATATATCTTGATCAGATATATATATACATTATTATATATATATATATAATAATGTATATAATATATATATGCATATATACACTTTGTAAAATAACTTTGTGAAATAATTCAGAAATCGTGATATAAAACAAATACTGATTGGTTGATATTTATATTTGCATTGGTATCAACCAATCAAAATCGAATAAAATCTTACATCATTTTTTTATCTCGGAATGATTTTTTTCGAGCATGTATCTATATTTATGATAATAATAATAAAAAAGCAAAAAAAAAACAAAGAAATAAATAATAATAATAAAATATATAACAATAAAAGATATATTAATAAAAAATAATCGTACACGTGGTGGTACATACATGCATGCATACATTACAAAAACAATAACTCACCGGTCCAAGATTGACGAATCCGTTTCTAGCAGCAACTTGATCAGCCAAATATCGTTCAGCCGGTTGCCTCATTTTAACGAGGAAACTATTCGTAAAAATTTCAGCTCGAGTGTCAACGATGGTTAAGAGAAAAACAATAAACGCGAGAAACATCCTGAGATGAGAATTATAATAAAGACCGAGGATCTTAACGGTTGCTACCGCTTTACTCGAAGTACTGAAGGATAGTACTATGAATTCGGATGCTCTTCTATCTCGAATCACGAGATATGTACTAGATCGTTTCAATTGTGGAGGGGATAAAGGGTTGAAGGACGAGAGAATACCCAATGGTGCCTACGATCCTTTACTTCACGATGGTAGTGGTGGTAATGATGTGATCGCAACCAATATTACTGGTACCCCAGTGGTGCTTTTGTTGGTAATAGTGCTGATGGTGGATTCGTTGACGTAAGTAACACGTGCTTTCCTCAAGCTCGACAGAGAACGACTACCAGTCGACTAGTACGATATGCCTACTCGATCGTATTCCTTAACCATTTGGTTCATGCGCTTCTCGACCAAAGCTTTCTCTATCGTACAATCCTTCTTTTTCTTTCGTCTCTACGCGCCATTTTCGTACAAACCTTTTTTTCTCTCTTTTTCTCTCTTTTTCTCTCTCTCTTTCTCTTTCTCTCTCTCTCTCTCTCTCTCTCTCTCTCTCTCTCTCTCTTTCTTTCTCTCTATCTCTCCCTCTTTCACGTTATCACTTTTTTATCTTTCGATTGGTATCTCTCGAAAATAGAATTCAGAAATATTCGAAAAGTGTATAAAATCGAGTTACTTTGATTACGGTGTAATTGAAGGGAATATTTATTTTGATAAACAAAAATATGACAACTAATAGTCAAAAAATAGATTGCCGATATTGAAGAAAGACAAATGTTAAAGCGTGAAAAAATAATGGAAAAGTCGTTTCGACGAGTTTCAGGAGTCGTCGGCCGAACACTCGGCGTCACGTGACGTCATCTCGACATATCGATTCGATGAAGAACTTCCGATGTTGTCTTCTCCCCTCTACTTTTTATACTGACGCATGCGTTCTCTTATTCGTCCTTTACAGGACACCGCCATTTTACTTTGCTCTCCATTGCGCCAATCACTGCGATCTACTGATCACTTCCAATCACTTGCATTTGTTTCGATCAGTTGGGGAAGTAAGCATCGTACATGCCCACTCTCGAAAAAAAATGTATGGTTATTCCAAAAATATATGATTATACGTATAAAATTGGGAAAACTATATGATGATATACTTCGTATAGAATTTTTTGTTTTCGTTTCTGTTTTCTTTTTTTTTTTTCTTTGTTTTTTCGTGACAAGCTCGTGATTGGTCCGAACGTGATATTATAACAATTTATAGCTATTGGACGAAACGAACGTTTGACATAAAAATAAGATGAGATCTAATTTCATCAAATATAAAAACTTCGTTTTGTTCTGTCTTTTATTTTTTTTTCTTTTTTATTTTTTTTTTTTTTTTTTTTTTTTTATTTTTTTTTATTTTAATGAAACTTTTTTTTATTAAAGATAAGTACGCATGAGATATCTTGCCGATCGGTTAATGTTAAATGAGAATTTTATTTATGCTTCCATTCAAAAAATAGTTAATAAAAAATAAATTCTATTTTGTAATCATGAGGAGTATAAGAATAATAAAATCTTATAGCTTTCGTTTGAAACAAATGTTGAATATACGTAACAAAATAGCAAACAATATGAGGTAGAAATAAAATTTTAATTTGACATCTATTTTTATAAGTAAATATTGGTGATAAAAGTGACAATAGAAACGTATCGATTTGTATTTACATCCAGGATAATTCTTTCTTTTTAACCAAAGCAATCCATGCGTAAAACAAATTTTATTAGAAAATATTAAACAAATTATGTTGTCAGTTAAAAGAAAAAATAAACCATAATTTACTGTATAAAAAGAAATTTCGAATATTTAACATTCTTATTGTACAAAAGGATTACATCTGTTTCGCAACACTTAAGTCACTGACTTAAGATATATATTAATAACATTTTTCTTTCAATAATACAATATAAATATACACTCTTATCTAATATGAATATTAATATATATATATATATGCATGTGGTTTGACGAAATTCAATGTTTGAATATGAGTTATTAACAATAAAATTAATTTAACCCTTCATAAATACAACAAACAAAGGCTATAACACAATAGTTAAAATATTCTTCATTTGTTTAACTCAAATACTTTGTAAAGGTAAGATGCAAAATTGTCATTTCTATCTGCTATTTATTTGCACTGTAGTTTCATAGAACTTAATTTACTATGCAATTTGATAACAAATTTGCAAAGTATTAACTGAAGATAGATTAAAAGTCCAAAATTTATAAAAAGAAACATTATTTCACCTTTGTACCCTCTTTGATGGTATTTCTGAAGTTATGGTTGATTTTACATTTATCTGCATTTTTCTTTTTGCTTCCAATCTCATTTTTGCTTCTAAACGTTTTTTTTCTATTTCTTCAGGCGTACACAATGCAGTCTGTGAATCCTTTGTACTTTTGATCGCAGAGTCTCTTAATATAATTTTACTAGTATTAAGTGCATGCAGGCTTTCCTTGTCACTTATTGATTTAATATTTTTATTTGCATTTACGTTTCCATTTGTTGTATTTCTACCACTAGTATTTACATATAATTTAGATGGCAAATTTGAAGAAGAAGAGTGTTTTATTATTTGACGTGAATTAGATGTACTAGGCTTTATATTTATACTTGTAGTTTTTTCTTGTCCAAAATACGAATCCGATAAACTTCTAGTTTTAAAAAATTTTCTTCTTTCTGTTACATTATTATTGACAGCAGAATTATTAACAAGTTTATTCGAACTATCCATAGAAGACTGATTAAAACAACAACTGCTGGAATTATAGCTAGCATTATTTGATTTTGTTATATTTTTAGTCATGTTTTTGTTCATTGAATTAGGATGTTTATAATTTTTTTCATTTTTATGTGACGTAAATTCTGAGTCTGGAAAAATATCATCATATTCTGTTGTTTCAGATAATAATTTTTCATCTTCTATACAAGTAGCTAAACAGTCATCAAAAGAATCATCTGGAATCTCAAATAATTCGGAACTATTATTTTTTACTGAATTTTTCCAATTTTGTAGATCCCCATTATGAGTATTTATAATATTGTTATTTAAAGGAGATTGTTTTTTGATATCTTCTTTCATTTCTAATCTTTTTACATCTGTATCTATGTTTTTCTTACAATTAGGTGTATTCTTAGAATATGTTTTACAGAAACTACTAACATTTAAAATCAAAGAATTTTGAGAAAAAAGAGAGCTCTTTGAATTTTCACTCGAACTATTTGCACTTTTAATTTTTTCTTTTGTAACAGATGTATCTTTCTCTCTACTTCCATTCGATAAGTCAATTGTATTATTTTTTTTATTTATACACAGATTAAATTTTTCCTCTATTTCTTGACTACATTTCACCATTGAATCTTCAATTGATTCATCAAATAATTCTTCAAAACTTGTGCTTATTTTATTGTCAGAAATATTTTCTTCCAATACAATTAGTACATCTGATTCATCTTTTCCTTGATGATTTTCTACTTTATCCTTATTATCGATATCATTTTCTATATAATCCTCATCATTACGCTGTATAGTTTTCATTTTTTCAGTCAATGCTTTTAATTCTGCAGCAAACTTTCCAATACTTTCTATATTGTCTGCTTTTACTAATCTCCTTCTTAAAGGTTTATGTAACAAAGGAGAATTGGAATTACGCTTCTTTTGAAGTATTCTTGTCTGTTTAGGTGTAGCAAGATGACCATTTTCATTTTTACTCTTAACAGATAAAGATTTGGTAGAATTTTGCCAATCCCAAGCAACTTCATTGCCATCTTGTGTACAAGGAACTGATATTGGGCTACAATGATAATCAGGTTCAGGAGAATCTTCTGTACTATCTGTAAGATGTTTTTTCTGAAATGGTGTACTGTGACCTGGACGATCAACAATGTCATTTGAATTTCTTATTGGACTATTCTTATTGATTTCATTCTGTTTATTTTCCATTGACAATAAAGAATTATCTATAAACATATAGAAATGCTAAGAATCTAAAACCATAAGTTTTATTTTTATTCTGTCTATATTAGTTAACTTGCAATATTAAAAAAGTAAAAAAGTATATTATGAAAAAAACATTTATTACCATGATCTTCTTGTTCTATCGGCTTTTGAAACTTATCTTTATTTTCTTCCAATTTATGCGATATCGTCGATTTTTTACTTCTACTCATAATTATTCTTTATTAGTATTACTATTGTTATTATTATTATTATTATTATTATTATTATTGTTGTTGTTATTATTATTATTATTATTATTATTATTATTAGTCACCTAAATACACTGGAAAAATAATTTCTCATGAAAATTTATAAAACATAACTTGTTTAAAAACTTTATTAATTATTTCTTAATCATTTCCTTTAAAATATACAACATAAGTTATATTATATAACAATAAAGAATAGGGCACTTATTTATTTTTCAATTTCGTACATTTGAAATTTCATACGTCTCTGTTTATATCATTTTTTCAAAAACCGATTTTCTGACAAGCTGTAACTTTGCGCATACCATAAATTATTAACTGTCAAAGAAAGATATATCGAAAGTGAATTTTTCGCTTCATTTAGTGCGCCCTCTGATAAAACATTAATAAAGCTAAAAGAAAGAAACTCATAGAGATGTTATTATTTATATAATATTCATTAAAAAATCAAAAACACTGATAAACATAAAAATATATTCTGTTTAAATTATTTATAAAATCTAATAGATTTTGTTAATTAATTAGAAAAGCTTGAAAATTTTTATATATTGGCAACACTGATTCATATTCTGTTACAATAAACGAAGATCCTTCAAAGTTCGACGAACTTATTTTTTATACATTTCTTTTCAAATATACATTTCATAATAAATAAAATATGCAGCTCGAATTATATAATCAGATAATAACTTCAATTCGACAATTTCATGGATTGTCGAAGGATTGTGCAAAAATGTTAAAGGAAAAATACGACAAGTAGGTTAATCGTTTGTTTACAAAAATTATATTTATACTTGTAATTTATTTTTCACTATAACATATATTTAATTAATACATATGCATTTGTATTTTATGTTTTATGAAAAATTATTTCAGTGACAAGTACAAATTACTTTACCTTTGTTTAGTGTGCCAAATAATACATTGTACAGTATATTATCGTTAGAGATACAACAAAAGATGAAGATCAATCACACTAAAATGTTTGGTCCCAATAAAAATTATTATGAAAGGTAAGTGTATTCTTTTTAACCTTGGAATTTAAAAGAAATTTTATACCTAAAGTAGTGTTGTATTTGAATTTTATTAACAGAAAGCTATATCTGTACAATCATAATATTAACGAAGTTTGCTAAAAACCTAACAAGTAGTAATTATATACTAAATAAATAGGTAGGTTAACTAACAATAAGACCAACTAATAACAACTAACAATAGAATTCATGTTTATTAATATTTTATACAATTAATTCTAAAAACATCATTATATATATAATAATATGTAATTATTGCATATGTAATTATTGCCTAGGACACCAACTATAAGTTATCTTGTAGTTTAATACTACTAGTTTAAATTAAATTGACTTTTTACATCAGAATCCTGAAAAGTCAACATGTTAAATATATTATTATTAATATTGTTATTAGATATGTTATTAAATATGCTTTATTTGTTATTTACAGTTACATAGAAGCTGTACAGAATGGAGAACCTATAGGGATCTTATTAAAAATGGCAAAAGACATAGATGCACCACCAGCTTTATTAGCGCGTAATGTTTTAGAAAAACATTGTGGCCAGGAAGATTCTACTGGTAAAACATTTGTATATTTGTACAAACATTTGTCATTAAAATATCATAAATTATATACTATACATTTTTATAGTTATAAACAAATTAAATTACTTTCTTTTAGTTTCTCGAAAGGATATTAGCAGACTTTTTAAGGATACAACTCTAATAGAAGATAAGGATCTATCTTATGAAGTGTATTTGGTAAAATCTCTTAGAATTATTTTTATATAATAACTTTAGATAATATTTATTAATCATTTTTTGTTATAGTGTATATTATACGATGATCTTTACGGACCGATAGCAGATGCTATGGGCAAGTATGTATTCTATTTGTTTTTCATCAAAATTTATTATTTATATTATATTAATAAGAAAATATTAGTTCGATAGGTCAAGAATATGAGATGAAATTACAGAATTATTTGATAGAACGAAATCTCGCGTTTCGTAACGAAGAACATTTACGATCAAGAGGATACGACAAAACGCCAGATTTTAAACTGGAAGTTCCTATCGCGGTGAATGGTTTCGTTGTTAATTGGATTGAATCAAAGGCGCGTTTTGGTAATCCTGAAATGCATCAAAAATATATAAAGGAACAATTTCTAAGTTATTGGAATAGATTTGGTCCTGGTCTCGTTATTTATTGGTTTGGTTATTTGAATACTCTGAATCAACCCAGTGAGAAGAAATTTATTATTATGGATCATTTTCCAGAAGAAATCACGTATATGGATCCAAATTCGATCAAACCAACAACATCGTGATTGTAAATAATATTATAGTTTATTAATTTTTTTTTTTTATTTTTATTTTTTTTTTTTTTTTATTTTTATTTTTTTTTTTTTTTTTTTTTTTTTATATATCATTTTAATCACAATTTTCACAATCGTATAAACATTTCAAACGAAATACATCCTTGTTTTTCTCTCTAATATACATGTAAATCCGTCCTTGAATAAGAAGAACTCGAAAACTAGAGCACGGTGGCTGTAAACGGTAGAAACGCACCTGGGTTTGCCGCGCAAGCGAGATGATACGCTTATTTATATATCCAGCTGTGTTTGTCCGTAAGCGCCGCCGCTGTCGTGATTTCAAAGCCAGTGTGCAGTTTTCGGGCATCGGTTATCATCGTACGTACGGAATCAGGAAAAACGTCAGGAAATATTTGAGGAAAAATATTTCTCATTATTTTAGTCGCGAATGTGAAAAGTGATATCGATGTAAATTAATAACATTCGAATATAATTTAATTTTAATTCATTTTAACCGATCTATTTCATAATTTGCATTAATGTTTCTTTCTAATTTTTTTTTATTTTTTTTTACTTTTTTTTCTTTTTTTCCTTTTCCTTTTCTATTCTTTTTTTTTAAGATGACATAAAATCTAAAATAAGATACATGAGATAAAGAAAAAGAGAGAGAGATAGAGATAAAGAGAAAGAAAAAAATTCTAGAATAATTTATAATATTTTTATTTATAATAATAATAATAATAATAATAATAATAATAATAATAATAACAAATTTGAAATCGATATGCATAATTTTTATATTCATTCGAATCTTTCAAAATTATGATATCACTGTTCCGCGAGTATGCGTGCTGATTGGTCAACAGTTTGAATTGTAGTGTTCGTTAAACTTTATATATGTAACATCGAAGTAACATAAAAAAGTGTTTCGTGAAAGTTCATTGGTGAAGCGAAAAATAAACTACGTTTTGCATAACAATAAACGTCTGCACGAGTACACGATAACGGCTCGTTTATCTGTCTCACCTTTTTCTATAATAAGTTGAATTTTTTTTTTTGAACAAGTCGTTATCAACGTGCGAACATCAATTATATTTATCGCTTCTTATCGATTAAATGATCAGTAATAACGAATTTGATCAAGAGTATAAAACTTAATGACATTAACCGGCTTCTTTTGTGTGTATGTGTGCTCTACATTTGCTAGTTCAAGGTCTTTCGATACCTTGAATCGATTGAATTGTATGTGAAAGAGAGAGAGAAAGAGAGATAGAGAAGAGAGATATATAACCATTGCAAGATAACGCGAACGCAGACGCGTCAAGTATTCAGCATTGAGAAAGAGAAAAAAAAGAAAGAGAGATAAAAAGTCTCGACTGTAGTCTCGATGAGGAAACAAAAAAAAGGAAGACCGTGATGACTTCGTCCTCTTTGTCGACCACAAATAGATATCCTATTTTCAGCATCTCTCTTTTGGTGTGAGCGTTTTAAATTCATGAAAAAAAAAAAAAAAAAAAAAAAAAAAAATCTACACTAATATGTACTTATTATGATCCAACAATCGTCGATCATTAAATATTTTTCTTTGTACTTTTTCTTTTTTTTCTTTTCTTTTTTTTTTTTTTTTTTTTTTTTTTATTCGTCCAACTTGATCATAACGAAAATTGATATTTAATTTGAAGTTTTGTTCAGTTTCGTTTATTATTCGGTCATCTTTTACAACAACCAACAACCAACAACTAACAACAACAACATCATCAAAAGGGGATATATAGAATATGTCTATAAATTCATCAAAACGTACGGGGAAAGATAACCTCACGAAACCGGCAATACAGTCTCAACTTGCCAGATTAAAAAGAGAGGTGAGATGATACGCAACTCGAAATATATATATATATATATATATATATATATATATATATATATATATATACATACATATATACATATACGTATATATATTGCTTTGACCCCCTTTTTCAGCTTACATATCATTCGTAAGATTCGTTATATCGAGAATATAGCATAGTAATAGTACGTTTGTACAGTTATCTAATTTCATTGGCTCCCTCCACCGTTCCAAACGTTCCCACGAAAAAAAAAAAAAAAAAAAAAAAACCAATTTGTCGGTCATTAATTCCGAAAAAAAAAAGTAATATCATGTGAATTCTTTACGGCTTTGCAGGAAGAAGAAGAATTATGGATATCGGGAGAAGAACTTTGTACGGAAGGGAGTAGCGATGAGGAAGATAGCAAAACATCTTCTAGATCATTCTGTAGAACAAATAAAAATTATGATCCGCGTAATTCATTGGCCAGCGGTAGACATCATTGGATTGTATCGGATAATACAAAAGAAATTTCCGAACGATCGAACACCAATTCTGAAGGAAATATGATATCCTCGATAGAGATAATAAATTCATTGAAAATGGATACATCAAATACACGATCGAATTCTTCGATTGATTTGGAAATTAATGATGTTTCAATGGCAGACGATACGTGTTCGGATGTGATACAAGATGAGGAGGGACAAGGCCTTAAAGACTCTGAAATATCGTGGAAGGTTAACAGAGGTACCATCAGGTTATTTAATACAGGTGCAACGGCTGCTACCATGGAACCCGATAATAAACCGTAACGAATGGATTTTTCATCAGACATAGTATTTCTTAGAATTTAATCTTGTCAACAATCTTTTATGTATTTTTCGTCATCTTTTTTCCATTTTAATTACGACGATAATCTTCGTGTCGTCATAGTTTTTATGAATGTAATTCAAATCTTTCCACCACGATAATATCGCGACGTAGTCGTAGACTGATTTTCCTGAATTTTGATTGGACGGTTTAATTTAGTACGGCTCAATCAAAATTTTTTTAAGGTCTTACGTCATGATTTTTATTATATTTGGCTTCGTATCGTTTCGTTTCTTAGTTTTTCTTTGTAAATACAAATATTAGTTTTGAATTTATTACTGGTTCGATAATAGATAGATCGACGAAAGAAACCTGGCAAGAAGATATAACTGAATTAAAAGAATTAACGCCATTAGGTTATCGGCGAGAATTTGAATTTTTCACGTGTTTACAAGAAGGTCTTCAAATTGAAGGTAATAAAAATTATATAGCATTTATTAAAAATGTCTTTTGAAATTTGGACGTTTCATTGTAAGATAATCATGAAAACAACGGTAAAACATATCTGAAAAATGATCTTAATAAATGCGATTTGAAAAACATAAGTACAATGAACGAGGAATTGGAAAAACAAATATCGAAGGTAGAGAGTTTGGATATTGCTATCAAAAAATTTGATAATAATGTAGAGGTAAATATATTCTGCAAGTTCGAATATATATATATATATACACATATTAAATGACGATCGTGTCTAACTTATTTACTTTAATAAGTAAATCAGAGAGAAAACAAAGTGTATTTAAGATGATTTTTAACACAGAAAGAGATGAAAGAAACTTTGTTATGTCAATATAAAAATCGTGAAAAATTGAAAGAGATATTAGAGAATGTACCACATGAAACTGGAAGATTAGCTGAAAATACACAACAATTTTTTAGTTTGTACAATGAATATGCTGGCATATCCGGTAATAAATGAATGAACATTTACATATAATAATATATTATATATTATTAATTAATACCTCTTTCTTTTCTTTATTTATGAATAAGCACTTACGGATGTACGTGAAAAAATTAAGCATAATGACACGCGTAATATTGAAATTTCGGATAATCAACAAACGTTGATAAAAGAAGAAGTAAATGCAATAAGAAATATACACGAACAATTATTAGAACCAAGGAAGAAAGGATATAAATTTAATAAGAAGAATAAAACAGTATATTTTATTTGTTTCTTTACAAGTTTTTATTTTGATAGGAATTTAATAAAAATATTGATATTAACAGTTAGTCACATATCAGTCAAAAATGTTTCCTAATACTACTTATAAAAAACAAAGAATGGCAATGTTGTTTGGAGATATGATTGATAGCAATGGCGATATTATCCATTTTAATAATAATCCTTACTGTGTTAATGATGAAGAAAAGAAATTATTACGTGAATTAAACGAAAAAATTTCAGTGAGTGATTCAAATATTTTAACATAATTTAAAGTATCGTTAATATTTTGTAAAATGATAGATACTACAAAATGATAAAAATTATAAAAAGCCTGGAATACAAAAAGATATGCAATTGTCATCAAATATATGTAATGCGCATTCAATAAGTAAGCCAGTTAACACTGTATCAACAATAAGTACTTCGCAAAATGTAGATGAAGAAATTCTAATAGAATTATTAGAAGATTCGAAAATAACAATGGCTTCATCTGCTGATGGTAAAAAGTAATATCGTCTTTTAAACAAAATTATGATTCTTTCATAACTTTTCTCTCTTATATAAAATTATGTCGTACAAGGATAAGAAATAACATATATATATAAAATCTTTAATAAACGTCTTTTATGCTATTTACAGAAAGATTAAAAGTTGGAATTGAAGTTAAATAAATAATATTTTATCTTACAAAGTTATAATTAATTTGTCAATATAAAAACACATTCATATTACATTTAAATATAAACAACTTGAATACTTTGTCACTTATCTAATTTAGATAAAACTAGATTGAACAATATGTTTTAAATATTAAATGCCAAAGACAATTACCTACAAAGTATTTTAATCTATTATGTTATATAATATTTATAAAACATTAAACATAATATTTTCTTGATTTTTACAATCTCCTATAGAATTTAAAATGTATTATTTTATTAAATCCTTCTTTTTGTTTTTATCCGAAACCGTATACTTGTCATAACTTTTTGTTGGATCAAAAGGTTCCCATCTGCTGGCAGGAAATATGTGTTTATTTCTTTCATACCATGATCTAAAATATATATAAAATTATAATCATTATTTTTATATTCATAATATTTAGTTTATTATAAATATATTAAAGGCAGAAAAATTATACCTTAATAAGACTTTCCCCGCATGTGATTCTTCCGTTTCAACAGAAGCATCATGCATAACTCTAATATCATCATGAACATCAAATGTAAAAAGTGGTCCACTTTTCCCTCTTGCCTGAAATAAATAAAAATATATAATATATATATGTGTTCACATATCCACCTATCAACACATACACTATAGTAATTAAACAATATTTTTATTATTTATAAATAAAATACCTTGGTGACAATAAAGTCATAAAAAGTATAATGATGTGGCAAAATAAGATCTTCTTTGACATACATTAATTGGTCTGCCATTACAGTTTTAAGCTCACTAAATTCTCTTCTTAAAACTTCCAGACATCTTTGAAGGAGTTGATAAATTGAATTACCTGTAAATAGTATAAACTAGTAACAATTAATATGGACTTCTATTGAATTTACAAATATACAGAGACAACAATATTAAACAATCATAGGTTCATACAATTTTATAATATTTTTAATGTATATAAACATTTACCTTTTTTCATAATTACACTACGTCGATGACCAGATCCATCCCAATAACTGAAAGTAATTTCTATTTCTTCTTCTTTTAATGCATTTTGTTTTTGAGCCCATTCTTGTCGTAATTCTTCTCTTAATCTATTTTCTTCTTCTTCTCTTTCTCTATCTGGTAAAAAGCTCGTATCCACATCAGGATTCTTTTTAATTTTTTTTATAACCGGACCATAACATTCATTCTTTGATTTTTCTGACTTATCAGATTTTGCATCAGATTCCTCATCTGATTGTTCAGACTCTTCATCTAAATTAAATGATAATGCTTGTATTTGTCTTTTTTGTTTATTTTTCTCTGCTTGTTTTGCGGCAAGTGCTCTTTCTTTTTCTTGTTCCTTTTCTTGTTCCTTTTGTGCAAGTTTCCTTTCACGTTCCTTTACTATATTCTCTTGCTTAGCTTTCATCTCATTCAAAGTAACAAGACCAATGGTAGATGTTTTTAATTGTTGTTCCACAGCATTATAATGCGTGGCAAATTTGTTTTCTATATTATGAATTTTCAAGTCATCTTCTATTTTCTTTTTTCGCAATTCTATTTCTTGCTGTGCAATCTCACGTTTTTTCATGAGTTGCATCGCACGGCCAGCTTCACTGGCAGCTCCTTTATAGTGTGCCATTTTTATTCACAAAAATATATTAATGTAATTAATAATCAATTTTTTTATATCAAAATCTTCATATACTTTCAGACCTATGATAAAGATACTTTGTTAATTTCGTCTTTTCTTTTTTCAAATATAACTTTATCATAAATACAAAAATTATCCTAAAATTAATTTATCTTAATTTTATATGACATTAAAGGCATCAATGGCCTTAAATTCACTGTTTATTTTGTTTAAGCTAAGTAAACATAAATTATATTGAACACATTTTAAAATTTCACAATAATAGTATTATGTTTTGTTAATCAAACACATTAAGTATTTGTTTTACTTTTTTTCTAATAATAGAGATTCTTAATACTGAATAATATAGGTTTGATACATAATCGTACAAAATAGGTTATACGACCTCACAACAAGAAAGTGAAAACTACACTGTTCACAAAATAGTCGAAATCATAGTTATCGGGCGGAAATTATGGGACACCTTACGATTTCTTTGAGAACTAATAAAAGTTACTGATGATAAATATATAATAACAACCAGCGCTTAGTGATATTTCTTTAAGATTCAGTCGATATATGCCATTTTTATACCAAATATAAAAAGATTAATAAATTGTTCTATTATTATGAAATTTATATAAATTTAAACGTATTATTACAGATTATTAATATTGTACTTGGAGAAAATTTAATTATTTAAATTGTTATCACGACAAATCGACAAAAGTTAAAGTTTAAGAAAAATATTACCAGTTGTCAAATATATTAACAAAATTCTTTGATATCTCACCAGATGTCACTACGTGAATCAATCGCGTTGGAACAATGCCTTGAAAAGCAAATATTTTTTCTTTTATTTTTCTTTTACTTGATAAAATGATCCGTCGTTTTCAAAGTACGTACAAATCAAAGTTCACAATTACTACGCTGTAAGTGATATATAATATGAAGTAAACATACATCACGAGATCAAGAATTAATGATATAATGATGACGTCTTAGCCGCAGAAAGTTCACGATCTAATCACAATAATAAAATATGGGAGTAGGGGAAATAGGAAAGCTTGTGTGGCGAATCGAACGTGGCGCGTCGTGACGTCCATTTGATAAGAGGATAAAAAAAAGTGGGAAGGAGGAAAGACGTAAGAGAGAGAGAGAGAGAGAAAAGAAAGAGGACGGGAAGAAAACCGTTAAACGCGGACGACCGTTCGAGCGTTCATATGCGCTAGTCATCAAGTGAAATTAATTGGCAAATTCACCGACGCATGGTTGTACAGAATACGCATCCTTTTTAAAATACAATGGCGACTTTCAGTACGAAGAATTTTCGCTTGGCTGGCATAAATGCTATCTTCTTCGATTTGGACAATACTCTCATCGAAACGAGAAAAGCTGATAGTCGAACCTGTCGAAAGGTATATATATATGTATATGTATATAATATGTTTCAAACCATTTATATTTAGGAGACTATCTTTGCTCCTTTCCTTTTCTCATTCCGTCTCTTTCATTCTTTCATTTTATCTATGCTGTATAATATATTTGTGTATATATATATATAATATATATATATATGCATGTGTATGTATGTATGATGTGCGTTCGGTGGTGTAGCATATATATATTATATATATATATATATATATACACATAGTATACATGCGTACCGTTCAATGATACATTCATATATAATTACGTATAGTATAGATTTGAAAGAGAGAGAGTGAATCGGTAGGTCGCCAGAGGTCAGACGTGTCTCGTTTTATGTACGTTGCTCCTGCAACGAAGCTTCGCGGGAAGATACGCGACGTTTTACCCTTTGAAAGTTCTCCCTTCTCGGCGACGAGGATCATACCCGAAATAGATACGTCCCCCTTGGCGATTGTAATTCGAGCCGACTCCCCGTTATAGCACTTTCTTCGCGACGACTATTTTCGTACGTACCGCGCCGTTACCCCTCGGTATCTTCTCAACGTCTTCTAAGCGCAAGACGCAGAAAGTGCTTACGAACGAAGCAACGTGTTTTTTAACGTTCTTCTTTGGATACCACCCACGTATTTACTTTTGCACATCGTTCTTAAGAGTTTCTTCAAAGGAATAACGATACGAACAAACGAAGATTTCCAAATGTTATCGTTTTGTCTTAAACAAAGGAGACAATTGGAAAATAATTGATGAAATTTAATTGCTCAATATTCTTAACAAAAAAAAAATTAATATTGAGTATTTTTTAATTATATAAAAAAGAAAAAAATATATATATAAAAAGAAATTATTACAAACTCGATCGTTTGATATCGTCGATAAGAAGGATTAAATTCAAATCAACGTTATTATATGGCTAATAAAGAATTAGTTTTTTGAGATAGAGAAAAAGAGAGAAGAAGAGAGAAGAAGAAGAAAAAGAAGAAAAAGAAGAAAAAGAAGAAAGCAAGCTTACTTAACTTTTTCACGAAAGCGTTTACACGTACGTACTATAGATTGAAACTAAGAAGTTATTTTTATACCGAAAGAGAGAACGTGTCAAAGGGCAAGGCTATAGTGCTTGAGGTGTTTGTCCTAGCTAAGCTCCTATGCCAGTTTCCTTTCGACAGTGGTACGTGTAAGGCCTGACTCCAGAGCATTCTTAATCTGTGGATTCTTATGAATATATTATAATTTTTGAGCATCGTTATTCGATGCACTTTGTGAAAAGTGGTCAGTGATATATTTCTGTATTTTGTATATATACATACATATAAATATTTATTTAAAATACATTGATACAAATAAAGCAACAATATGAGTATTCCAGAGGATGTAAAAAAATGCGTTGCCATTTTAAAGTCGGTTAATACCGACTCAGAAAAGTTTGCAGTTCTTTTCATGGTAACTAAATTAGTAAATGCCAAGGATTGTAATCTAGCTGCTAAACAAATGCTATTTGAAGCCATTGGTACAAAATTTGTAAAGAAATTATTATCAAGTGATACAGTTCCTGTCGATTGTCCAGCACAAGTGTACAAATCAGTAGCATTATCCATCCTTTCTGCCTTTTGTGGAGAGCCAGAATTAGCATCCCATCCGGATATGATAACACATGTACCTGCTCTTCTTGAAATTATTTCTCAAGCTGATGAAGATGCAGCTGATGACATGTTAATTATTGTTAGCGAAGCTTATAGATGCTTACAAAGCATTGCACAATTTTTACCAGGTCAAAAAATACTCCTGGAACATAAAGCAATATCTAAAATGTGTGACATTTATTCGGAGAAAAGTTTTCAAACCGACGAAGCTCTAGACATTTTAGTTACTTTAGTTGGAAGATATGGTCCAGATGCTTGGGATGCGACAGATACAGTACCCTTCCATGCAATTATGAATAAAATTGCATGTGATTTTGAAACGGATCACACAGAGAGAAAATTTAAATTATCTAGTATTTTGCAGGCATTATTGATTTCTTGTAGAAAAGAATTGATATCAATGACTGCAAAAGATGAATCTTGGCCTCTTAGTATCCACAAAGGATTGAGCGACATTCTTGGTTCAAAGATAGGGAAAAATCAACGAGATCCAGCTTTGAAATTAGCTTCAGTTATGATGGATCTCTTAGGTGCTGAATGGACCATGTTAAATAAGGAAAAACCAAAGATACTTATATTATTGTTAATTCAATTAGGATCAATAGAAGTTAGAATGCAATTGGAGGGTCATCAGCTTAAAACTGTTGTTGCAAATGGCGAATTAGTTACAGCTTGTTTTGTAATTCTTGAAATTTCTCTTATGTATATTATCTCAGATCAATTAGATCTAGAACAAAAAGAAAAACAATCTTTATATACAGCTTTGAAAGGTGCCTTTGCTGCTATTATTGGCCTATTAAATTCAGTATCAAAAATGAAAGAATTAACTGATATCAAGGAACGTATTTTCGTTTGTGCAATGATTAGAGTACTTGCAGCATGGCTAGCACAAGAAACAACTGCAATGAGACCACAAGTTTATGCGGTATTGCCATTTGTATTAACAATAGCCAATGATACATTTTATGCCTATCGTAATAGAAAACTTGCAGAAAAAGCAAAAGCAGGTGCTAAAGGTGGAAGTACCAAAAATGAAGAAGGATCATCCTCTGTTGAATCTATACCACGTGATCCACTAAGTGAAGTTGATTTATTAAGATTACTTTTACCAGCTTTGTGTTATTTAGCAGTAGAAGAGGATGCTAGAAAAATTTTACTTACTCACAAACAAGATGAAGTCTTATTTGAAAGTTTATCTTATCATTGGACAATAGTACATTATAAAAAGCCACCAGTTCCAAGATCGGAACGCTTAAAAGCATTGAAAGAAACAGATAAAACAGATGAATTGGATTTACAAACTTTAGAAGAAATGAAGGATTCAAGGACAGCAATGGTTTCTATATGCAATGTTTTAATGAATATAACTGTGCTAGAAGCCAAATTAGTAGAGGAATCTCCCATATATATTTCTTTATTGAAATTCATTTTCAATAATCTTCCAGAATTGAAACAAATGCCAGAGAATTTAGTTCTTCATGGCCATTTAGCAGTCCTAGGACTCTTATTATTAAAGCAACAAGCAAAACGTATTAAAAAGAATGATTTTTCAATATGCCGTTATATTCAAGCTACTATTAGATTTTTATGGGATGCATATATAATAGATGAAAGTAATGATCCTACTGAACTAGTTGTTGCTATGTCCTATAAAGAACGTTGGATGGAACTTATGGAGCTCTGGTTTCTTGGAATGCAAACAATGGCTGGAGTTTTACAAGTAATACCATGGTTATCACAATTTACAATTGAATCTGGATGGGCAGAAGAAATTATTGAAACTTTGAAAAAAGTTAAAATAGGTAGTTTACAACCAAATGTAAAATCTGCCTTCGAAGATCTACTATGTCATTTGGTACAGGCAGATCAGGGTGTCGCAGCAGTTTTGAAAAAATGTGGAGCATTGACAGTTTGCAGAAATCATCGTATGATGGAACTTGGAAAACACTTGTTTGGAGATTAAAATTTTTGATTAATAATTTTTAATCTATTTAAAAGTAATTTTTATTAATTTTTGCAAGATCCTATATGCTTTGTACAATTAGAAATAGAATTTATAAATTTATTGTATTCTACTTCGAATAATTTATGTATATAAAGTGCTGCAAAATGTTTAAAAAAATTTAATATTTTATTATATATCAGTTATAACATTAAATTATAATGATGAGAAAATTATATCCTTATAAACAACTATTTGATTGCATTACTTACAAGAACTTTTCATTCAGCTGAAACTCTAGAACCTCTTAAGAATTTGTCTATTCATCAAAATTGTCTATACGTACGTAATTCGAATGTAAATTTAGATATTAATGTATCTGGAAATAGTTTGTCTTTGGCATCAGAAAACAAACAGGATTTTCTAAAAACAAACTTTTCTACATGTTTTTACTATGAATATACATATATTTGTAGAATATGTTTAATTTACTCATTCATTTTTTTTTATATTCTGTTTATAGATGTAATTTGTTATGTTATTAAATAAAAACTTTTTATAATATTATATATATATATAATCTTGTTGAAATAATAAAATTGAATTTTATATTGGTAACAAAAAATTACAAAAATCTGTATAAATTATCATTAAATATTTTTTAGAAAATATATGTAGAAAAATGTATATATAAAAAGAAACAATATACTTACAATATAGTAAATATGGTTTGTGGTATAAATTTAATGTGTAATAAAAAAGATAAAATTTATAACAATATACATACATATAAAGATATTGCAATATCTATGTTCCTAATTTTCATTTTGTAATAATAGAAATAGAAAAATAAAATTACCATTAAAGAGAAATATATATATTTACAGCTTTGTAACATGATACAAACATTTTTTTTTATTAAAGTAAATGCTGTTACGATTTATCTTTACTTTTTCTTTTTATTGATTCTGAAAGCAAATTACAACATTCATTATAAACATGAATGTAAACGTATCTTATAGTTGTGGTCGAATATCTAATCTCTTTTAATTATTATTTAATCTAATGGATGGGTGATTCTGTATCCAGAAATCTTATAGCCACAACTTATAGAGTTGGAGCATCATAAATTTGTTGTTGGCACAACTGATTTTGTTGTGATTACAGCAACGTCCGCGGGTGCTACTTCGAGTGTCCACTAATCGGCTCGAGTATTTCAATGAATCAATGCATTTTCTAGGTAATCATTAATATGAATTAATGTCCTATACTCCTAAATGATCGCTTCTGTCCTTTGATCCTGTGAAGTCTCTTTTAAACTGTACATATCCACGTTCAATATTTTATCCACTTTAAAAAATTATACTTTATTTATGATTACATTGCTTAATTAATAATTTAATTTGTCATATATTATAACATCTTGTGTTTAATAAAACAAGTGTTATAATGTAATATGAAAGTATTTTTATAAACAGAAATTTATTGAATGTGGTGATCACTGTTATCCTTTAGTTTCCTCTCATTTTTCATTTTCATTCATCATTCTTAACATTACTTGAAACGAAAAATGAAAGAAAAATTTAAATCTAATCAGTGACATTATATATGTATCTTTAGCTGGCCGAGGAGCTGACACAAGAATATGGAATTCCTGAAGAAGTATCCATAAAAGTTACAACTACATATTTGAAGCTCTTCAGAAAATGTCCAGATAATATCACGTGCACATTAGATGCCTGGCGAATGATATTATGGAATAAAGCATTAGGAGAAAAGTTTTCATATTTAGCCAAAAAAATTTACGAACGTTGGCTATATTTAAGATACCAATATTTGGCATTAGAATCTGATACAATCTTATTACTTCGTCGGTTGAGAAAAAAATATTTATTGGGATTAATCACGAATGGACCATCAAATGCGCAATGGGAGAAAGTGAGAAAGCTTTCATTAGAACAATACTTTGATATTATTTTAGTATCAGGTGACTTGCCATGGGAAAAACCAGAAGCAAGAATTTTTGAAGAGGCATGTCAGTTTCTTAATGTGACACCAAGTAATTGTATAATGATTGGTGATAAATTAGAAACAGATATCTTAGGTATGTTATCTATGTATAATAGAAAACATCAAATATCTACATGTTTAATAATTCATGTAATAATTCACGTTTGTACAAACAAAACACATTTAATATATAAATCTATTAATAATATGTTTTGATAAATTAGGTGGAATAGAAGCAGGCTTTGGCGCCACTGTATGGATACCTACTATAGATAAACCACGCTTATCTATAGAAGATCCACAACCAGATTTTACTGTAAGACGTTTAATGGATATTTCAAATATATTGAACCGTAAACCAGGTGCTCCAGAACTTGAAGATACTTCCTCTAATGCTTCTGATGGCAGTTAATGCAATATTGAATGCTTTTATTTTCTTTTTTATGGTATATAGTGTAGTTATATACATTTCAAAAGTGACTTGTTATATTTTTAATAGCTAACTGAGTTTGTGTTAGATATTACAAATAACAGTCATTAGCCTGCATATATCGAATATCACAGATCTTGTTTTATTTCTCTTTAGTGTACTTTGGCGAATACTGTCTTATTATTTTCTTTTATGGTTACCATTTTTAATTATTAAGCATTATTAAGTATCTACAATGTTTTAGTTGAAAATTGTATTTTATATTATGATACTTAAGTATTTGTATCTCGAATTCTCTGAAAAAAAAAAGAGATGTAACGAATGTACAAAGCACAGTGCACAAATAGACCTATATAGTCATGAACTTGGGGGTAAAACAACCCGAGTGTGATAATGAAAGGAATAAGCAAGTCTTATTCTGAATAGATACAAATAGACTATTATACAAAATTTATTTGCAATGTATAAAATATTAGTATACTCGTGTTCCACAGTGATTTAACTGTGCATACTTGTTTGGACTTGCACGTTTATACGTGCATCGTGTAATTATTTGTAGATAAATTATGTGTATGTATATACACAAGCGAGACATATATTTTTTACTGTATATTTTATTTTTATTACAAAAAAAGAAAAAAAAAATAAAGGAAAACAAGTTTCACATGATATTCTCGAAACAATGGGAATCTCTGTAATACTACACTTACAAATATAAAAGAATAAATATGTATGCAATGATGTAAGTGTATCTTTTGTAAATATTAAACGGTCCTTAACATTTACAGAAATATAAAAAAAATAGAGCATTAATATTTAAGCATAAAGTATACATACAATATTTATATTATAGATGATTGCAACTTATAAAGATGTTTTTATTTTATGTTACATCATTTACATTTATGATTTTTTCTTTGTCATTCTTCTCAATTTCATTTAAAGAAGTTTTTATATCTCCGTTAGCTACTGATTCATATTTATTTAATTCTGATACATTCATCTTTATTTCATCTAGTTCCTGTATCATGTTAAATTATTAATGATTTAAAAAAAATAAGTTTTTACATCTGAGTTAAATTTTCTCACCTTTTCAATTCTTTGTTGTATTATATGGTTTTCAAATTCCTCGTCCTTAGTAATACATTTTGAATTTTTTCTTTTATACGTGTCCAATTTCGTAATACAGATACCACAAGTATTTGAAACGCATGGCAATAAATTTTGAATTGGTTCATTAATTTTTTCTTTTGCTTTAGAATTTTTCATCTTGTTAGAAATTGGTACTAATTTATTTAATTCTCTGACTTTTTTTGGCGATACACCTTTTGTTGGTTTAGTAGAAGTACGTCTCATTGATTTATTATTATCAACAGGTTTTGAATTTTCAGGTTTTGATGAAGTTGATTCTTTCTTAAATTTTTTCGTTTGTGTTGTTGGCCTTGTCTAAAAAATCATCAATATTTGTTATGCATTCTTTTTTCCCTTATAATTTATATCTTAATATAAAATAAACCTGATCGTTTATGCGAGAATTGTTTGGGCATTTCTTTCTTTTATTTAAAAAAAGTTCTTGTGTTGATTTAGTTATCGGTATCCGATATTCATAACCATTTTTTTCTTCTGGTCTATTTTCAGTAATATGTGATGTATTGGCTTTGATTTCAGCTATTTTGTCACGACTCCACGCGAGGACATCAGTTTGAACAATACTTGGAATCTGCATATTTTCATTTATAACTTTTTTCTTTTCTTCATACATTTCTGTTATGTGTACTCCTAATTTGTTTATTTTTTTTCTTGAACCAACACTTATTTGTACTTCTTCTGTTTGAATGATCTCATCCGCAATATTCAATGGCTCTTCTTGGTGTAATCGTGAAAATGTCGAGCACATTCTTGTGCATAAATTTTATTTATAATTTTACAATTACTTGTTACATACACTAATATAATTAATGTATATACAATTAACACAATATCAATATATTTTACACCACAAAAACATAAACTTATTTGTTAACTATATACAGAGTAACAAATATTATCAGCTGCTCTGTTTGCTACAGATAACAAAATAAACTGAAATTTTTATACGCATTTTTACAAGTTTTTACAGAAATATATAATGAAGCAAAATAAAAGTAGCTTACGGCTCTGTATAATTATCATTGAGTAGAGTTACTGGGTTTCGCGGTGTTTGGATTATTTCATCTTGTTTTGATGAAAGATCATCAGTGGTTGAGCTCTTATTATTCTCTTTTTTCAATATCTCATTGTTAATAAAATCTTCGTATTCATCTTCATTCATTTCTATACAAGTTGTACTCTCTGTTTGAAAATTCACATCTTCTGATTTATTAGAAAATGTTTCTATGTTTAATTCTGCCTATAAAATTTATATTATCTGTTAAAAATAGTTTTGCAATATAATGTAACAAAATAGATTATGAAAACTATACCATATTGTTAAGGACTGTTTCCATGCTCTTATTCTGTAAACTCTTACAAATATTTTCTGCTTGTTTAGGATCTATGCCAACTTCTAATAATGATGTAAGCACATCACGCTCTGTTACAAGGAGTTCTGGATTTGCATCAATCAAAACAACTGACTTTCTACATCTTGGTTTTTTATTACATTGAGTTTCCATTAATTTTTGATAGGATAATAACTTTCCTATTACTTTATTCTCATCCAGCACCTTTGGTGGGGTTGGTGGTCTGATTTCATGTTGCTGTATTTGATTTATATTAAAAAATTCTATATCATCATCATCCGATTCATCAGATTTTTCTGACATATTTAAGAAAGTTTTCAATTGATATATTTCTTTTAACATTCTATGCTATATAAGAAATAAAATAAGATTTTCATATATTTTTTAATTTAAAGTTACAACTTATATAAATAGGCATATATTTACCAGATCAAGTGTAGTTCTATATCGTTTTAAATGTTTTTTAAATATTTCATTCAGTTCTTTATCAGTATATATACCACTTTTAATAATTTCTTTGGTAATCTCATAAGCAAACTTAATGTATCTTGCATCCTCTTTCGCTTGAATTTCTGTATGTTTACGTGTATAAGTTTGTATTGGACTTGATAATGACGAAGAAGTATGATCTTCTTGTACAATAGAATTGGAACTTGTATCAGAATCAGAAAGACACAGATTTGTGGGTGATTTGAAAGGATTTTCACAGGTAACATAAATTGGTTTTTCATCACACCTGCATTTTCTTTTTAAAGAAAATTCTAATCAACATTTAATGTCAATTCGAATATTATTATGGCTATTACAAGAAATTACTTAAATCTGATTGTCAATCAAAATTAATATCTTACCTCTGAATGATACATTGTAAATGTTGCTTATGTTTTTTTGAATTCAAGTCTTTGATATGCTTTTTTCCAGTAGTTTTTTGTCGACTTTGTGATAATATCTTTTTTGATTTTGGCACTGAATGATTTTGATAAATATTTTGATCGTTACTCTCGGTATCAGTAGCTTGCATTTTCAATCGTGAAATATCTATATTGTTTATATTACATGGATATACTTCACAATTTACTTCTTTTGCGTAATGTGAAGAATATTTATCTAAATTCATCCGAAGCATATCCTGTTTTATTTAATATAATATCATCAAAGAAATTTAAACAATTTTATATTTAGTATATTGTATTAATATATTCTATAATATATATACACACATTGAAAAATGTATGAACATACCATAGGATGATGCTTGGTATCAAAAGCCAATTGGTCAACAAAATTATCTAAACTGAATCTCCTGGGAAGTTGTACTTTTAACTGTTTTTTCTTATTATTTATATATTTTTTATTTTTAGTATCCACAACACTTTTTGCTAACAAAACTCGACGTATGTGAAATCGCATAGAGTTATAGGCAGACAACTGTTCAAAATAATTTTCTCCAGCCAGGTTATACACTAAATAGAAAAATAATTATATACAATAATTTTTTATTATATAAATTCTTATATTTATGTCATATAGAACTCATTTGGTGTATTGTGATAAACTAAAAGCATTTTTCTGCTTCTTCATATAATATACATATTAACTTGTAAATAATAAAAATATGGCCAAATTTATATATTGGCAAATAGCTTTGGAAAAATTAAGACTCACATTACTCCAAACTCAGGGAACATTTGGAACGTCATAGGTTTGGAATATACATGCATGCAAAAAAGAATACTTATATATAGGTACTCAAACAAAAAGACTCAAAAACTATTATATGAAGAATATAATAAATACATTATACGTACCACTGCTTTTGAGATTAATTTCGCTGTTGTGAAATCGTATCATTTTTTTTAATTGAAATATATAATTAACTTCAAGTAAACACTGTTTTAAACTCTAAACTTTCAAATAATATAAAATAAAATATATTTAAATTATGCTTTATCCATTGTAAATAATAAATTTCAGCACTATGGTAGAGTCTTGATAAATATTTAAGCTTTTGTTCAAAAATGTTCAGTCATATTTGGAATAATTTTGCTTCAGGCAAAGAAAAAGTAAAATCTTTCTTCTTTCTATTTAAGATTGACTGTACTATAAATACGTCATCACGTTGCTTAGTAACGGAAAAGAACGCATGACCTTATACTATATATATCTCTTACACAAACACACACACATACTCAAGCATAATACATTTTTTATTTATATATGTAAATAAATGAAAAATGTATTCAAAATAGTATATATTGTGTATTTTTTGTATCTTAATTAGATGCATATTAGATGTATACTGTATATTTCATATTCTACCAGTATGGCAAAGGAAATATATTGAATATCGCACTCAGCTAACATTTGGAGGCAACAAGAAGACATACTTACATTACAGTGAAAATAATTATTTTTATTGGATGACCATTTTTTAGTAATGAAGTAATTTTAACAAAATAACATTAATTTTGACTACACATGGCATTAAAGGGGATAAATGTTATTGAAATGGCTGGACTTGCACCAGGACCATTTTGTGGAATGTTATTAGCAGAATTTGGAGCTTCTGTAATAAAAGTAGATAAAGTAAGTACAATAGATTGAAGTAAGAATATTTTTCAATTTTACTATATTAATGAGTTTATTTACTTGCTATAAATATTATTATTATTATTATTATTATTATTATTATTATTATTATTATGATTATTATTATATATTCTTGTTGTTTTAGGTTGGAAATTTCCAGACATTTCCAGATTTTGTTGCTCAAGGAAAACGATCTATAGCATTAAATTTGAAAACAGAGAAGGGTACAGATATTTTAAAGAAAATGTGTAGTCATACTGATGTAATAATAGATCCTTTTCGTAGAGGTCAATAATATAGTTTTCTATAAATCTAAAAATAAAATTTTTATTCTATTTTTATTTTTTGTTATTATATATAATTTTTTTTTTTTTAATACAATTTATGTAATAGGTGTCATGGAAAAAATGAAAATTGGGCCTAATGATATAATGCAGATAAATAAACGGATTATTTATGCCAGATTAACTGGATTTGGGCAAAAAGGTTCTTATGCAGATATGGCAGGTCATGATATTAATTTTCTAGGTTTATCAGGTACTAATATATTTTTTTTTTCCAAATGTATAAATATTAATATTTTTTATTTTGCAAAGTTGTTATATATTTTATTGCTTTAGCAAATGAATTGTTTTCATTTAGGCTTACTTTCTTTACTTGGGCGTGCTAAAGAGAAACCGACACCGCCTGTTAATCTAGTTGCTGACTTTGCTGGTGGTGGTTTAATGTGTGCCTTAGGTATCATTTTAGCTCTTTTTGAACGTAATCGTAGTAACTTAGGCCAAGTTGTAGATGCTTCTATGGTAGAAGGTACAGCATATTTAGGAAGTTGGTGCTTTAGGTCTCAGTTAATGGATGCTCTTTGGGGTAACCCACGTGGTCAGAATTTGTGAGGATACTATTTTTTTTTCCTATTTTATCATGGGATTGTAATTTATCTATAGTAATTAAAACATATTCTTGTAGATTAGATACTGGCACACATTTTTATAATACTTATGAAACAAAGGATAAACGTTATATGGCAGTTGGTGCTATTGAGTCAAAATTTTATAATATTTTGTTAGAGAAACTTGGTTTATCTGAGGATGAAGTACCACAATTTGAAAATTTTGATAAAAATCATGCATTGTTTGCTGATATATTTAAAACAAAAACGCAGGCTCAATGGTGTGCTATTTTTGATGGTGTGGATGCTTGTGTAACACCAATTTTAAATTTAAAAGATACACCTCATCATCCACATAATAAAGAAAATGAAACTTTCAAAGTTACAGAAGATAATTGTGTAATACCAAATCCTGCACCACGATTATCTCGTACACCTGGTATCTCAATGGCCACTCGTAAAATTCCAAAACAAGGAGAACATAGTATTGAAATTCTTACTGAATTAGGATTTAATTCTAAAGAGATAGATAATTTTTTAACAAACAAGATAGTTACACAAAGTCTATCTCAGTGTAAATTATAAAGCTATCCTATAATTACAATAAATTTAATATATGTTATTGAATAATATTACAAATAATAATATATTTCAATACAATTCAATAAGTACTTAATAATATTGACAAATATTGAGTTGGCAACTAAGTGATTGCCGAAAGTGTAAAGTCCATCTATCGACAAAATCCGCAATCACTTAGTTGCCAATTCAATAGTTGGATAAAAGCAATAAAAATATATTTTTTATAGCTTTTTATGCCTGATGTTATGATGATTTACGCCAACTAAATGGAAAGTATGTATTAAAAAAAAATAAAATACAATATATTGGGTTGTTCGGAAATTATTTTCTTTTTTTTTTTGTTTGTTTTGTGAAAATGAGAAACAATTTTCTTATAATATATAAATATTTTATTGAATTATATATTGACCATTTTGACTCAATATCTTTTAACATTTTTCTGCTTGTAATATAATTCTATGCTCATAAAAAAAACTGATTGAAATGATTTTTGACATTCTCATTTGAAGAATGTTTTACCATTTAAGAAATTTTGTAAAGACCAAAACAAACAATAATGACTCGAATTATTATTGTTGTAGACTATCCATTATTTATTCACTTTATTTATTCAGCAGTTATTAATTGTTTTAAAAATGGATCATTACTTGATGTCTAAGGAGTAAATCACAAATATTAATGGGATAGAATTAACCTCTCTTTAAGAATGTGTAAATTCCATATATCCAGCATTGAAACGAAATCAAGTCGTTTCATGTGATCATAAATAGTCAAATTCGACAAATTTAATTTCATAGTAATTTCTCGTGTTGTTATGATTTGTTTCAATTGATAGCTTTATTTTATTTTTATCAGCTTTAATTGGTCTTCTAGAACGTGATGCATCTTTGATATTAAAATTACGAAATAAAATTTTACAAATCAGTTTTAACACTGGCATTTTAATAAGACATCTACTTCATATAGGTCATATAATTTTTTTCTTTACTTGAACAATATTTTTACCTTTTTTGGTAATAAACAGACAAAATATGCCGAAAATACTGCTTTTAATTCTCCACATTTGATAAGACACCAATAAAAAATAATCAAACAAAAATAATCTTTACAAGTATACCTTCAAATGTTAACTATCAAAATATATAACAATATGATTTATAATGAAGTTAGCTGCTTAAAAATACAATTAATATTTCTCTGGGGGAAAAAAAAACGAAATTACAAAATATAAAATTAATCAACAAGATTTCATTTTAAAGACGAAGATTTAACTTAGAATCTTACTTTTTGAAATTTTTGAAAAAGCTTTTTTTTCTAAACAAAATCGTATTAAAAAATGATATTTTTTTTTTCGAGAATAGCTTATAAACAAATAAAAAGCTTTTTCCAAAATTCGAGAAAACGAAGTCCTAAATTAAACTTTTGTATTTAAAATGAGACCTTGTCATTAAAATCGATCATGAATTACACGTTTTGTCATTGTTGGCGTAAATATTGTTTTTGATATTTTTTTTGCGAAGAAAAAGTTTTGTACTGTGGCGCCTCAAGAAATTTGCGGCTAAAGCGAAAAGCTCGTATCCTTATTACTGATTTCTATATTACCATATTCTATATTGAATGTGGAATATATTTGTGGAGTATGAAGTAGCAATTATCTAGTAGAATTTTTAAAGCATTCCAATTGTAAAGAAACGTGTTTCACGATGCTCGTACAGAAAAGTATACTCGGTCACTCCATATTCTCGGGATAGATTTTATAATAAAATTAAGAAAATTCATATCCAATGTTATAAAGATTGTAACGCGTGAGGAACTTATATTATATTTAATTTAAAATACGAATACTTAACAATTTTAATCTTAGAATAGTTGGCCTTGTGTAATATAAACATATTTACACAATTTTTCTTAACTTTGACTGATTACGGAGTTAGTTTTTTTTTTTGTATTACGATGCGTAAAAATTGAAATCCTCGTTTTCTAAACGTGATAACTTATTAATATACTTTCGGTAATTTTATAATCAATTTTAAAGCCTCTAATGTACGCGGAGTATAATAAATTAATATTTAAGCAATAGTTTAAACACTAAAATGATGGAAACGAAGGAGAAACTTAAAATAATTTTAATATACAATTTTAATACTTAAAAATTTTAATCTCTTTAATCTCAGGATTGTTGACCTTGTGCAATATAAACATAAACGAGCCTTTTCTTTTTTAACTTTGACGATTATGGAATTAGTTTTATTTTGTACTATGACGTGTAAAGATCGAATTCTCATTTTCTATAATAATTCTTTTGATTAGTATGCAGAATTTCTCATTTTCTTTTACTTTTTTTTAAGTTCAATTAAATTAAATTCATCGTTTGGACCCATGGACGTGAACCTTTGTGCAGACTGCTGTTTCAGCATTGTATAGAATTCTCGAGTGGGAATCTTAGAATTGGGCTCTTTGGTATGAACTCTCGGATAGGTCTTCTTCTTTCAGTAGAGAAAAATTGAACTCGATTTTGGTCGAGTGAAATGATATTCAATGATGTTCACTTCTCGTTCCGAGTTTCATCGTTGTCACGTACGCTTACGTTTCAATTTCTTTTTCTTTTCTTTCTTCGTCTCTCTTCTTTATCTCATATTTCTTCTCTTTCTCTTCTTTCTCTTCTCTTTTTATCTTTCAAAGATCATCGAGAGATCATCGAGGGATAGATTCATCTGCGATCGAATGAATCCGATGTATCGTCGAATGGCTGCGTTCATCATTGATTTTTATACGAGAATATGGGAAGAATAAGGAAAACATTTGCGCTCCTATTGGTAGGCACGATTAAAAATCTTACAAGGAATTTTATTTGATTTGTTCGAAAATTCGATTAGATTACCTCACGAATGTGGTAAAATAGAGTCATTGTTAACTCGTGGGTCTTCACATGCAGCAACTTCCACGTAATGAGACCTAGGTCGATAATACTTATGATATATTGAAATCTAATTGTAAATAACGCAATGCAAGTACTATCAGGCAAATGGTGGCTGGATATTTCAATGTATTTTCAAAATACTTTCAATCTAATTCTGATTAAACATTAAAGTACTAATACTTTAAATTGTCCATAATACTTCTACAGGCAAATAGATAAGATATAATTAAATTCAAAGATCATTTCTATAAATTCGCAAATTTATATATTAATTGTCATATGTGTTAATTATATTTATTATTCTTTATCGTGAAACAAATGCGTATCGACGTCGTATTTAGGATAGATCACTGGATGGATCACTGGAATGGAGACATAAGCTAATATCGAAGAATGATATACATGTAAGACATTATGTCTGTTTGACTTTACAGTCTGCTAAACTACTTACTCTAATTCACATAAAATCAATTGTTATATCATGCGTTAGTGAAGAATAACCAAACAAGCTTATGTACCGATACGATAGACGCATGGTGATGACAGTATTTCCTGCTTGTATTCGTAGTTGATATTTTATCTGTACGTATCGCTGAAGTCATATACGCTTCGAACATAAGGTAGTGAACAGCTTTAAACCTACCAATATATCTAACTTGTACTCGAGTTAGTTTTCTATGATATGAAACACTGTGCGTAATTCATTACCCAATCAAATTGTAGTCGCCATGTCTAGTCATGTCTTTGTCTCATTAACCTCAAATAAATGACGTACGGACGTACGTTTTTTTTTTGATATATTTATATTTATTTAATAAATAACGTATATTACTTACAAACAATATACGAATACATCATATTTAGTTTTTATAAAAATGCAATTGAAATATATAATCATCCACAGTGATATATGAAATGTATGAAAAATAAATAGTTGTACATATTGCAGGTTACCGTTAGTAGATTGTTGGAAAAGAATTATAAATTTTGTTTAATTTAATTGTAACAATGTTGAGAAGAAGACACGTTAATATTAAAACTATGAAAGAACTTGATGCATTTCCTAAAGTACCTGAACCATATGTAGATAAAACTGCAGTTGGTGGGACTTGTAAGTAATTTTTATTAATTTTGATTAATTTAGAATAAGGTTCGAGATACAAGATATATATGTATACATGTATACATATATATGTATATATATATATGTATATATATGTATATATATGTATGTATATATATGTATATATATGTATTCCCTTTTTATCTATGTTTCAGTTTCTATCTTCACATTTTGTATTATTGCTTATTTAATAATAGCAGAAACAAATTATTTTCTTGATAGTAGATTGCAATTTAAATTTGAACCAGATACAGACTATGATGCAAAATTGAAAATAAATATTGATATAACTGTGGCAATGCCATGTGGTCGCATCGGGGCAGATATTTTAGATTCCACGAATCAAAATTTAGTAGGTTATGATACTTTAGAAGAAGAAAATACTTGGTGGGAATTAAATTTAGAACAAAGATCACATTTTGAAGCTTTGAAACATATGAATTCATATTTAAGAGAAGAGTATCATGCAATCCATGAATTACTTTGGAAATCTAATCAAATTACATTGCATAGTGAAATGCCAAAAAGGTTTACATATCTTTTTATGTGATTATGTAGAATATTTTATTTTGTGATAATCAGTCACATATATTAATTTAATATAAAATATTGTTTTCTTTAGAACTCGTGAACCATCATATGTACCAGATGCATGTCGAATTCATGGTAGTATAAATGCAAATAAAGTCGCTGGAAACTTTCACATAACTGCTGGAAAATCTTTACCTCTTCCAAGAGATCACATACACATTTCTGCATTTATGACTAATAGAGACTATAATTTTACTCATAGAATTAATAAGTTTTCCTTTGGAGGACCTAGTCCTGGTATTGTACATCCTCTTGAGGGAGATGAAAAAATTGCTGACAATAGTAAATTGAAATTTTACTTATTAATATTATAAATTAAATTATTATAATAATATTATAAATTAAATTAAATTATTGATTGAATATTTAATTTATTTCTTAGATATGATGCTATATCAGTATTTTGTGGAAATAGTTCCCACTGACATAAGAACTTTGCTAAGTACATTTAAAACATATCAATATAGCGTAAAAGATCATCAAAGACCTATTGATCATTTAAAAGGATCTCATGGAATACCTGGCATATTTTTTAAATATGACATGAGTGCTTTGAAAATAAGGATTACACAAGAACGCGATACCATTACACAATTTTTAGTAAAATTATGTGCCACAGTTGGAGGTATATTTGTTACAAGTGGTAAGTTTGTATATTATTTAATACAAAGTGATTAGACTTTTTAAACATTCGAAACATTTATAGGTTTGATAAAAAATATTATACAAAATTTTTGGTATATCATATGTTGCAAATTTTTTCGTCATGAGCCTGATGTAAATAACCAAAGAAAATCTGTTTCCTTAATTGCAAGAGATTATGAAAGTCCACGAACTATAAATTTACTTCAAGTTTCAGCACCTGATAATATTGATATTATGTTAAAACCTCAGAAAAATAATTATGTAAATTGATTTTCTAAAGCATTTGCCATCATTATAGTAATATACTGCACTAACTTAAAATAAAACATATTGCATATGTCACGTCATATGTAATAAATATTGTATAGTAAATATGTTGATAAAAGTATTATCGTGTATAAAAAAAGGATTTTAAATATAGATCTAATATTAACAATGTTTTACATATCATTTTTCCCGCATGTAATTTAATTTTTAATTCGATCATAAATATTTTAATTTATTATTTTATATTATAAAAATAATTTATATAGTTTAAATTTAATGTAGTTTTCTATTTTTATTGTCATCTATTCTTATTACCGGTATGTTTATTATTCATTTAATCGATATATCGATCCGATCGATTAAAACGATTTTCGAGTTTTTAGCCGGATTGCCACGCGCGCATGTAAGCAGTCGACGTATCATTTGCGTCCTGTCAAATCAAAGTAGCTAGAATAAGGAGTTGTTACTTTGCAATGCAAAGTGTATCTTACATTATTAAAACATGGGTTTTTTGGAGGATACTTTTGTGATCCTTGTTACACAGGTGGAAACCCATTTATAATTCTAATGAACCATTGACATTGCATTACGAAAAAAGAGGGTTAAGTTACATATATGTAGCAATAACTAACACGTTTCTTTATTTTGAAAATTGAATTTATCATTTTCTAAATGTTTTATTTAACGAATGATATAAACAATTTATTATTAAGCAATCTAAATATTTATAAAAATATGAATATAAAAATATGAAGATAATTGTTAAGTCTAGTATTGTGTGTTCTCTATTTTTTTTTTTGAATACTTTTTGAATACTTGTGTTGTGTAAAAACTGTACATTGATAAATATTATTTAATTATATTAAAATAGTTTTATATTTATATTTCATATATTTTTCATTAATTGTAATAAGAAGTATATTATTACAATAAATATACTATGGCAAACTTTTGTTTTTTCTTTTATGATTGAGACAATTTGTTTCATTCATATATTAATTATTATTTGGAAATTATTAACCAGTTTATCACTGGTATATTTTGCCCATATACATATCATTTTCAATTATTTTTTTATTTATTTTACAGGTAATATTTTTCTTGGGAGGATGGATATTTTTTGTAAAAAAATTATTTCGTGACTATGAAGTACATCACAGATTAGTGCAGTTAATTTTTTCTACAACATTTTCATTATCATGTACTATGTTTGAACTAATTATTTTTGAAATAATTCGGGTTCTTGATTCAAGGTAAGAAAATGTTGATATTATAGTCTTCAAAAAAAAGAAAGAAAGGCTTTATTAAAGATAATTTTTTTTTATCAGTTCTAGATATTTTCATTGGAATGTTGGACTATATATGCTTTTATTTATGGTAATAGTTCTTATACCATTTTACATAGCATATTTCATTATCAGTAACATTAGATTTGGTATGTATATACCAATATACTTTTATTTTTTATCTGTATTTTCTTTAATTGATATTTATCAAATTTTTGTGTAGTAAGACTGAATTGGATAAGGCCACTTACAATCATAGTATATCTTTTTTACCTCTACTTATTTTGGAAAATTGGTGACCCTTTTCCAATATTGAGTCCAAAGAAAGGATTATTATCAATAGAGCAAGGTGTAAGTCGGATAGGTGTTATAGGAGTTACTGTTATGGCACTTTTATCAGGTTTTGGTGCTGTAAATTACCCATATTCATCTATGGCCTATTTTATGCGGCCTGTGTCTTATGCTGATGTACAAGCTATAGAAAAACGTTTATTACAAACAATGGATATGATTATAGTTAAGAAAAAAAGGATAGCACTTGCCAAAAAAGGTGAAATGATTGGGCAAAGCGAAGTTCGTTCACGTCTTTGGGGAATGTTAGGTCCATTAGGTGGTACGAAAGGGAATCAAGAAAGTGTGTATTATATTAGTATGATAGCAAGTGAAATAATATATGCTCATCACTAATTTACCGCATTAACTTTCAGCTATAAAACAATTACAAATAGAAGTTATAGCATTAGAAGAATTATCTAGACAATTATTTCTAGAAGCACATGATATTCAAAATGCTAGAGAACGTTTAGAATGGGCAGCCACATGGCAAGGAAAATATTTTAATTTTCTTGGCTATTTCTTTTCATTATATTGCATTTGGAAAATATTAATAGTTAGTATACTGCAATATCAATAATTACAAATAATAAACAATGAAATATTGATAAACAATGAAATATTATATCACATTTTTTTACAGTCCACAATCAACATAGTCTTTGATCGCGTTGGTAAAAAGGATCCTGTTACCAGAGGAATTGAAATTGCTGTTCATTGGATGGGTTTTGATATAGATGTTACATTTTGGTCACAACATATATCCTTCTATTTAGTTGGATGTATTGTTTTGACTTCTATTCGTGGATTGTTGTTAACTCTTACAAAGGTACGATATAAATTTCACAATAATTATATATATATACACAGTTATTCAGTCAATTTATATCAATTAATCTTTTTATTTATATCTCATTGTATTATTTCATCTTTACATTTAACTGATTAACTAATATGCAAAATTGTATATTTAAATTTTGATATTATTTGAGTATAAGCAAAGAACGTGACTTACAATTTTTGAGACATGACTAATTTATTATTATCAGTCTTCATAACAAAAATGCTTACCACAAACGTAATTTCGTGTTCATATTTCAGTTCTTTTATGCTATATCAAGCAGCAAATCCTCAAATATTATTGTACTTATACTTGCACAAATAATGGTAAGATCTATTCTCTTTCTTTTTTATATGATTTTTTCTTACGATTGTTTTCTCACAGTGCAAAGGCAGTTTATGTAATTTTATATTCCTTTAATTCTAGGGAATGTATTTTGTGTCCTCTGTATTACTTATGCGCATGAATATGCCTGCTGAATACAGAATAATTATAACACAAGTTTTGGGTGAACTTCAGTTTAATTTCTATCACAGATGGTTTGATGTAATCTTTTTGGTATCTGCATTATCATCTATAGTGTTTTTGTATCTGGCCCATAAGCAAGCACCAACGGAACGAACATGACTAAATAAATGACTTTTGTGAACTAAATATAATTTTATTGTTATTCTGCACTACACAAAACAAGCCTTCAATTGTATATAAATCAATATTTTTCATTAAATAATAGTTCACTTTAGTTTCCTTAACATTTGTTTATTTTTCTAAAAAAACTTAATGCATGCGATACAAAGAAAGATACCACATACATAATATTTATTAATTTATGCTGCTTGATTGCATAAAGCTATGTCACAAAAGAAATTTGTTCAGGTAACAAATGCATTTTTACTATTATAACAACTAAATTGCATTTGTATTTACTTTAACATACATTACTTTCTGGATCACAGATGGCTGAAGGATTGATATTACCATGAAAAAATTAATTCTGCTGTATAATTTCTGATTTGATATGAGTATAATCAGTTTTAACGAATTAATTCAATGGTCCATTCCTCGCTCATATTTACACCTGGTTTACGCAATGTTAGTACATTGTTGTTCGGGTTATATTTAGTTTCTAATGTCACCGTTCTTGAACCTGCAATAAAAATAAGAAAATAATAAATAAATTCCATTTTACTTTTTAATGTATTCGATTTAAATAGTACTTACTGCGTGATATAAGTTGAGCAGATTTAATTCCTTTAGGAGGATTTGCTATATCTACTCTTTCCAACCAACTTTTCGTTTCATACGAAGCTAATTTATCAATAAATGTTGAAGTTAACTTAATTCCATCAAAGTTAAGTTTTAGATACAGATACTTTCCATGACGATATTCAAAGCTGCTTTCATCATCAATATACAGGTTACCACTAGCAGTACCATTATTATCACCAATAACAATTAAAGTATATGGATCGTTCCTCATCGCAACTGTGCTACGACGTATTCTCATTTTACGTGGAACGATGGAACCACTTCTTTGGAATACAGGAATCTTGTGAATAGTTACTTGTATGTTGTTTGATCCAGCTTGTGTATATGGTTGCATGGTATCAATATCATACCACGTTACCTTACCCTCCCCTGGGAAATATACATTAACTTCCGTAGCAGAAGGTTGAAATACGGGACGTACAAGAATGGAATCTCCAACAAGTATATGATCATCGAGTGTATAAGTTTGTGTTTCTGTTGAATAATGCGCCCACAACGGTCGTATTACAGGTGTACCATTTATTTCATGTTCTCTAAACAATGTATACCACAATGGTAGATAGGAATATCTAACTCTGAATGATTCTCTTACTATTTGTGTAGTTTCTTCATTGAATGTCCATGGTTCCCGTCTTTTTGTTTCAATGTGTGAATGTTGACGGAAGAAAGGTAGCCAAGCACCAGCTTGATTCCATCTAATAAATAGTTCTCTGTCTGGATTTTTAAAGAATCCACCAACATCTGCTCCACAGAATGACATGCCAGAAATAGATATAGAAAGACACATTGGATAACTTATACGAAGATTATCCCAGTCTGCCGTATTATCACCAGTCCACATAGCAGCAAAACGTTGTGATCCAGCAAAGAAAGATCTTGTTAAAATAAAAGGTCTTAAAGATCCTCCTGATCTTCTAAAGAGAGCCTCATAGGTGGCAAGCGTATAAACAAAACCATTAATATTATGAACATCTCTATGTTCCCATCCACCGTAATGTATAACATCTTTAGGTAGAGTTACTTCTGGACCATTGAAAACACTCGGTTCGTTCATGTCATTCCAGATATATACATTGTTTGTAGTACCATGAAATTTATCTAGACTATATTGACCAATATAATATTCTCGAACCTTTGGATCAAAGAAATCTAAATACGACGATGCTCCTGGCCAGCACCAACCTTCATAATCTTTTCCATCTCTAGTTTTAACGTAATATCCTAAATTAGTAGCATCTTTATGTATGAAATAATTAGGATCTCTTTTGATGTGTGGGTCAATAATGACAACTAATTTCCTTCCTTTATCCGTTAAATTTTGAACCATTTCAAGTGGATTTGGAAATTTACGTGAATCCCATGTGAAATATTTTTTACCATCAGTATATTCAATATCAAGCCACATTGTATCCATTGGAAAATCATGCTCATCAAAACTATTGGCAATTTGAGCAACATCATCTTGGTCATTATAATTCCAACGTGATTGATGGTAACCCAAAGTGAACATCTGAAAATTAAATTAATATTTCAATTATTTTAATAGAAAATTTATGAACAAACAACTTGTGCTGGCATTTTAATGTATAAAACATTTAATATTATAAACATTAATATATAAAAAAGATATACCTGTGGTAATGGTGCTGTACCAGTTAAAACGGTAAATTGTCTAAATACATCCAAAGGTTTTGGTCCTAACATGAAGAATACATCAATAACTCCAGATTCAGACATAAAGTGTACATCAACTTGTGATTTCTTTGTAGAACCCGAAACAAAATTAACAAAACTCTCTACAACATTATTATCAGCACTCGATAATATATCTATCCATGTTTCTGCTGCATTATGCCAAAAGATACCTGCTGTTTTTTCTTTACTATAAAACACAATGTTAAATTTATATTATATGTTTATATATTATTTCTATTGGAATATTTAAAATAATTATACATACCCATGCGCATAAAGGACTGGAATTGCTCCATATAATGACATTCGTTCATTTACCTCATATTCAAATACATCTAAATTATATAACCTATATGGGTCTAATTGTTTTGTAGATTTTAAAGCAAATGAATCGGCATGTTCTGGGATACCATAAGCTTGTTCTGCCCCTGGAAAACTAAAATCTAAAGCTACGGCTTCCGGTCCAAAAGGTTTAGAATCATGATGACTTTTAAAATTTTCTTCCCAAGCACCAGGGTCACTTTCAGCACCATCACCAGGATATTGTGGTGATTGCTGTTTCTCTTCAGTTTGAATATTTTCTGCTTTTTCTTCCTGTTCTGATTTGCTAAAAAGAGACAATAGACTGTTTTAGTATCTTTTTTTTGGTTTAAATAATATATATTAATTTATATGGTATACCTTTCTGGTTTTGGCCGAAGATGTTCAAATCTCATTAAACCACGAGCATTCGCTGAAATAACTAAAACATTTTGAGAGTATAAATCTACTCTAAAAGGATTGATATATAAAACAGCTTTGTTCTCTCCATTGGTCACAGATATATATTCTGTAGTTTTTTCAATATTATCCAATTTCGATGTTTGCGGCTGATCTTGTAAAGAATACTCGACTTCATATCGTGGATGTAATGGATTTTTTTCATTAATGTGAAGCCTAAATGTATGATCTTTAAGTACAGTAAGTTTTAAAAGATAAAATACACCGGTATCTTTATTAAATAAATCTGCTGTTAGAGTAGATTCATTGTGAGCAACTGTATTCGGCTGTAACTGATAAGGAGTTTTACCTGGTTCGACTTTTTTGCAGCGTCTATAAGGATAAATAAAATATTTATAAAAATGTATAATAAATATTAATAAGCAAAATATTTTTAGTTGTATCAACATTTATTTACCGGCAAAAGCTGCTTTGTTCGCATGTTTTAAAAGTATCTCTATTCACTGCATTAATTATAAATGGGCAAAGTGCGAGCACAAAAAATATTGCTAGTCTGAAATAAAACATAATTCAATGTTAAAGCAAGTCATATATTTTTAACCCTATTCTGCTTTAAAATTAATCAAATTTTACATATTCATTTCGGTATTGTTTTTGCTTCCAAAAAAGAGGAAAGAAAAAAAAAAGGAGAGAAAAAAAACTACGACATTATCGCCATAATCAGAGCTCGAAAAAGCAACGTACTATCGATTATTATCGAATGCTTATCGTTTATCGCGAAGATAAAGCACAAATGAAATTAAATGATTTTTTTTTCAGTTATATAAAAGGTCCCATTTTATAATGACCGGCATGTAAAAATATTAATAATAATGAGACATATAATATCAATGACACGTCAGCGTGATCATTGTTACGTTGTACCGACCGTTTAAAAAAATCATTAAATAGAAGTAAAAATTTAATTAAAATATGATGCTTCTATTTCGAATTAACCTTTTTAATAAGCTTTTCGATTATCGTAGACGAATCGATAAGCTTTTATGTGAAGGTTAAATGGCTAAAAAATAATCAACTCACCGCACGAACGTAGCCATGTTGGAAAGTATTAAGCTTCTGTCATGCCACCTTCCAACTAACTGAATATGAACTCCGAAATGAAATTGATTTTATAGATGGAGCAACGTTCGTCCGTTTAATTATCGGATGAGTTTTAATTTTACAAAAGAATAAGTTGAAAATTTTCCAGGTTTTTCTTATGTTCCTTCATTATCTTCATCGTTATCATCAAGAAAAAAATAAGATAAATGAGAACCATAACTACGTGTTTACTATCGTTTTAATTAACATAACACATTCATTTTATTAGAATTACAAGAGTTATGCATTCAGTTAGCAGGGAAAATTACATTCATATGAATAATAATATATTACAAGATTAATATAGAAGTTTTGGCACTCAGATCAAATTCATTTGATGGATTAGAGAAAGCCTAACTATTTTTCTTTTTAGCATATTCATAAATTATTATTCTTATCGGATTATTCGATAATAATATCGAATAATTCTTGATAGAAATATTATTTTATTGTATATCCTATGAATTTGTGAAAACAATATTCGCTACGTATATACGATTATGATTTATGTATAAAAATTAAATTTTTATTATTAACATTCACATAAGAGCCGTCTTTACGAATTGTACAATTCCTACAACGATCCATTATTAAAATCGTAGTTAATTAAGGTAATCGTAAATTCGTGTCAAGGTTGAAAACGTAATCGTTATAATTCTTCGAATTAACACGTATGTATATGATATGTTAACTTTTTAATTTTTTATATTGAATTTCTATCAAAGATCATTGTGATATTAACAAACCAATTAAGATATTTTTCAATGTAGTTTAAGATTATTTAATTTTTATAGGATATTCTATTGAACGTCAAATTCACATTGTTAATATTTCTTCTTTGAAATGATAATCTTATCAATTTTTTCATTAATTTCTCTGCATACTTTTTTTTGTTTTTGTTAATTTTCTTCTTTTTACTTTTTATTTTTTTTTTCAACGTTATACATAGACACTGTTCTATTTTCCGAATGAAATGCATAAAAATTCGAATTACAAAATAGTGCAGTGTAAAAGATATGTGCATAACGCGAGCATTCGAAGATGATTCTCTCTCATGTCCCAAGGTATGTAATTTTATGGGTTCACAAAATTCTTTCAATGTAACTTGCAGATAGTTCGTCCATTTTTAAAAATGGAATAAATACATGGATAAATACATACATACGTTGTTCTGTTCTCCTCTCTCTCTCTCTCTCTCTCTCTTTCGCTCTCGCATTTTCTTTCGCTCTTGCTTTCTCTCGCTCTCTTTCTCACATAGTATACTTATTTATTTACACGTATTTGTGAACAATAACATCCTAATAAATCTCGGTGTGGGTTGTCAGTCTTCGATAATATAATTTGGCCCTCGTATCCCAACAATTCGCCAAACTGATACACAGAGGAGTTCTCTTAAGTACATACGCAATTTCTCTTCTTTGACCAATAAAATTTTCTCTCATGATCGGTTTTTATATTACATTTAAAATGTATCGATTTAATATGATTGTGTAAAGAAAAAAATTACAGAAAATTATTTATTTTGAAATCGATAATGGCCGAGGTAGACGGGGATGATTCCAATAATGTAGCGACGATAAGTAAGGCCGAAGACTTGGCATGAATATTTTCGTTTGATCGAAGTCATATACATACATACATATATTAGCAAAAATGTAAGTTAACAGGTTTCGGTAAAAAGTCGATTTCTCATTTAGGCACATCGAGTCCTTTGTAGTGACGAATGTCATAATCACGGACTATAGTAAATATCTTTCTTTTTTTCTTTTCTCTTTTCTTAGACAAAGAAAAAAGAGAGACGATATTAATATCGTTCGTTTCGTCCGTATCTCTAAATTGGAGATTACATACGCAACCTACATACATATGTATATACTTGTATTGCCATTATAGAAAAGTCTCATATTAATTGTCGACTTTGAAGAAAGAATATCTTTCTATTTTTACGTATCCATTCATCATTGTATATTATCAATGTACACAATTTTAACTTCCCTTTTAGGCACGCTGAGATAATAATATCGAATAATCGTCCCGATATTCGTAACAAAAACAGTCCTCTAAGTCTTCTAATTTGGAAGCGCTACAATTTATTTCGTTTACGGCCCGAAGGTTGCTTCTCTTTCTAGACGCAATACTGATTTCTTCTCAGTAAAGGATTGCTGGTTCTTTGCGCTGTGGCCGATTGGTAAGATAAATCTGACATGTCGAAGCTTGTAAACTAAATACAATTTTATTGTTATTCTGAACATCACAAAACAAGCTTCCAATTATATATAAAATTATATTAAATAGTAGTTCTCATTTTAATTTTTATTAAATAGAAATACAAGAATACAAGAATGGAATCTCCAACAAGTATATGATCGTCGAGTGCATAAAATTTTCGTTAAATAATAGTTTACATTTGTTTCATTAACATTTGTTTATTTTTCTAAAAACTTCATTCATGTGATACAAAGAAACATACCACATACATAATATTTATTAATTTATGGTCTTTCATTGCATAAAATTATGCCTCAGAAGAAATTTGTAAAAAATGCATTTTCACTGTTAAAATAACTAAGTTGTATTTGTATTTACATTAACGTACATTACTTTTTGGATTACAATACATTACTTTTTTGCTGAAGGATTGATATTACCACGAAAAAATTAATTCTACTGTATAATTTCTGACTTGATATAAATACAATCAGTTTTAACGAATTAATTCAATGGTCCATTCCTCGCTCATATTTACATTTGGTTTATGCAATGTTAATACATTGTTATTCGGGTTATATTTAGTCTCTAATGTCACTGTTCTTGAATCTGCAATAAAATTAAGAAAATAATTAATTTTCATTTTACTTTTTATGGAAATCGATTTAAATTTTAATACTTACTACGTGATATAAGTTGAACAGACTTAATTCCTTTAGGAGGATTTACTATATCTACTCTTTCCAATCGACTTTTCGTTTCATACGAAGCTAATTTATCAATAAATGTTGAAGTTAACTTAATTCCATCAAAGTTAAGTTTTAGATACAGATACTTTCCATGACGATATTCAAAGCTGCTTTCATCGTCAATATACAGGTTACCACTAGCAGTACCATTATTATCAACAATAACAATTAAAGTATATGAATCGTTCCTCATCTCAACTGTGCTACGACCTATTGTTATTTTACGTGCAACGATGGAACCACTTCTTTGGAATACAGGAATCTTGTGAATAGTTACTTGTATGTTGTTTGATCCAGCTTGTTTATATGGTTGCATGGTATAGATATCATACCACGTTACCTTACCCTCTCCTGGGAAATATACATTAACTTCCGTAGCAGAAGGTTCAAATACGGGACGTACAAGAATGGAATCTCCAACAAGTATATGATCGTCGAGTGTATAAGTTTGTGTTTCTGTTGGATAATGCGCCCACAACGGTCGTACTACAGGTGTACCATTTATTTCATGTTCTCTAAATAATGTATACCACAATGACAGGTAAGAATATCTTATTCTGAATGATTCTCTTACTATTTGTGTAGTTTCTTCATCGAATGTCCATGGTTCTCGTCTTTTTGTTTCAATGTGTGAATGTTGACGGAAGAAAGGTAGCCAAGCACCAGCTTGATTCCATCTAATAAATAGTTCTTTGTCTGGATTATTAAGGAATCCACCAACATCTGCTCCACAGAATGACATGCCAGAAATAGATACAGAAAGACACATTGGGTAACTTATACGAAGATAATCCCAGCCTGCCGTATTATCACCAGTCCACATTATGGCATAACGTTGTGATCCAGCAAAGAATGATCTTGTTAAAATGAAGGGTCTTAAAGATCCTTTTGATCTTCTAAGGAGAGCTTCATAAGTGGCAAGTGTATAAACAAAACCATTAATATTATGAACATCTCTATGTTCCCATCCACCGTAATGTATAACATCTTTAGGTAGAGTTATTTCTGGACCATTGAAAACACTCGGTTCGTCCATATCATTCCAGATATATACATCGTTTGTAGTACCATGAAATTTATCTAGACTATATTGACCAATATAATATTCTCGAACCTTTGGATTGAAGAAATCTAAATATGATGATGGTCCTGGCCAGCACACTCCTTCATAATCTTTTCCATCTTTAGTTTTAACGTAATATCCCAAATTAGTAGCATCTTTATGTATGAAATAATTAGGATCTCTTTTGATGTGAGGGTCAATAATGATAATTAATTTCCTTCCTTTATCCGTTAAATTTCGAATCATTTCAAGAGGATTTGGAAAATTATGTGGGTCCCATGTGAAATATTTTTTACCATCAGTATATTCAATATCAAGCCACATCGCATCCATTGGGAAATCATACTTATCGAAGCCATTGGCAATTTGAGCGACATCATCTTGGTCATTATAATTCCAACGTGATTGATGGTAGCCCAAAGTGAACATCTGAAAATTAAATTAATATTTAAATTGCTTTAATGGAAAACAACTGGTGCTGGCATTTTAATGTACAAAACATTTAATATTATAAACATTATTATATAAAAAAAGATATACCTGTGGTAATGGTGCTGTACCAGTTAAAACGGTGAATTGTTTAAATACATCCAAAGGTTTTGGTCCTAACATGAAGAATACATCAATAACTCCAGATTCAGACATAAAATGTACATCAACTTGTGATTTATTTGTAGAACCCGTAACATTGTTATCACTATTCGATAATACATCGATCCATGTTTCTGCTGCATTATGCCAAAAAATGCCTGCTGTTTTATCTTTACTATAAAACACAATGTTAAGTTTATATTATATGATTATATATTATTTCTATTGGAATATTTAAAATAATTATACATACCCATGCGCATAAAGGACTGGAATTGCTCCATATAATGACATTCGTTCATTTGTCTCATAATAAGCTACATCTAAATTATATAATCTATACGGTTGTGATTGTTTTGTAGATTTTAAAGCAAAAGAATCGGCATGCTCTGGGATACCATAAGCATGTTCTGCCTCTGGAAAACTAAAATCTAAAGCTATGGCTTCAGGTCCGAAAGGTTTAGAA